CTAAATTTAATTGCCTCCTCAGACCTACTCTAACATACCTAAAGACTTGAGTGGTCTTGTCTCCAAAAGAACAATGAAATGACATGATTAAAAATCAGGCACGTGGGCTGGAGAGATGGCTCAGAGGTTAAGAGCGCTGGTTGCTCTTCCAGGGGTCCTGAGTTCAATTCCCAGCAACCACATGGTGGCTCACAACCACTTGTAATGAGATCTGGTGCCCTCTTCTGGTACACAGGCAGAATACTGTATGCATAATAAATAAATCTTTAACAAAAAAAAAAGTCAGGCATGTGCACCGGCCCAGCCTGTGGCCCACACCTTTAATCCAAGCACTCTGGAGACAAAGGCAGGAGGATCTATGAGAGTTGGAGGCCAGCCTGGTTTACATAGTGAGCGCTAGGCCAGTCAGGGCAACATAGTGAGACCCTATATCAAAAAGCACCAAAGCAAAGAAACAAACCAAACAATAATATAAACTATTTCTTAGTGCAATTAAAGCTGACAAACTACACTTCCAATATATAATTTTACCTTTAGGGTCCCATATGATCACCATATCTCTTTTCCAGCACAATCATCACACCACCACACTCTTTCAGTGTGTCCACCTCAAATTTTTCCACTTACCCTGTTTTCTCCATATAGAAATCTTGTATACAATGAGTTGGGGTGTGTTTGCGTGCACGTGTGTGTGTGTGCGCGCGTGTGCGTGTGTGCGTGCGCGTGCGCGTGTGCGTGTGCGTGTGTGTGTGTGTGTGTGTGTGTGTGTCACAAAACTGGAAAGGGGAACGTGAGAGAGGAAGAAGAGATCTTAAGTAAGATGGGCAAAAGGACAATGGAATAATGTAGTAAGAAAGCAGAAGGGAAACTACGAGAAGAAAAGAAACCAGCTGGAGGGGAGAGGGGGTATAGGGAAGGACAGTTGGGGAGTGAGGAGTGAGAAGGAAGTAAGACAGCATGTATGCACGAACATGCCATAATGACACCCATTTTTTTAAAAAAGGAAAAGAAAAAGAAAAAGAAAGACATTATTTTAAGGGCTGGAGAGTTGGTGCAGTTATGAGAGCACATTACTGTTACAGAGGACCTGAGTTTGGGTCTCACATTCCATACCAGGTGGATCACAACTGCTTGTAGCTCCAACTCCAAGCAGATCCCATACCTCTGGCCTCCAAGGGCACCAGCACTCACATGCACATTCCTCTGTCCCCTCCATACACAATTAAAAATAATGAAAGTCAATCCTATTTTTGGTTTTTCAAGACAGGATTTCTCTTTGTAGCCTTGGCTGTCCTGGACCTTGCTCTGTTGACCAGGCTGGTCTCAAATCTGAATTCATAGAAATCCACCTCCTTCTGCCTCCCAAGTGTTAGGATTAAAGGGGTGCTCCATCACCGCCCAGCTTTTAAAAGTGAACCCTTAAAAAATACAAATTAATTTTAAAGAAAGATATGTTGTATATAGCCTTGTGGATTTCCTTCACAGTCTTCCTTCAACATCTACTCCAAAAGTGTTTCTGAAAACTGAGTCCCATCATCTACTTACTGATTGGAATAAAAACAAAGTAGGACTTTTTTTTTTTAAGTTTATTTAGATCTACAACCATATTGCACATAAAAAAATTCAATTCAAGCAACTACAAATTAAATGAAATATACATGAAGACAGTGGCAAAATACCATAAAACACTCTTGACAAAAGAGCTTTTTTTTTTTTTTAAATGGGAGAAGTGGATTTGTCTATTGTTTTTTGAGACAGGGTCCCTTCTCATAGTCCTCGCTGTCCTAGAAGTTGCTATATAAAACGGGATGGCCTCAAACTCAGAGACAGCCCTGCTTCAGCCTCCTGAGTGCTGGTATTAAAGGCATACACCATCACGCCTGGCAAGAAAAAAAAAATCAAACAACATAGAACTCAGTTATAAAACATAATGAGAAAAAAGCTCCCAGCTTCCAGGGTAAGATACCCCACTCACCTCTGAAGTTATAAGGTGGGATTATAGAAGAGTCTAGAAGACCCCCAAGTCCAGCCCTTACAGACATAGATGACCTCAATCATGACAGGTCACTCAATCAAGTTCCCCAATGAGGGGGCCAGTACCAGGCCCCTCCTGGCAAACTTGAGCCCCACTACTGCTACCCCTAGGAACATCAGGCCCCACGTAAAACCCACAGAAGATGGGGCAGCAGGTCTGCTCAGTGCCCCCTTCTGATGCACAGACTCCTTGCCTGTCAACTGGTTGTGTGTGCTCTAGCCAGGCCAGGACTTCCTGATACTTGTCTTGCCCTTTGCATCTGTCCTCCTCTGGAATCTTTTCTCTACGGCTATCTTCTTGCAAGGAACTCTTTACACAGAAGACATGGACTTTGGGAAGTTTTTGGCAGCCACTCTGTCCCTCCGGACCTCACCCTCAGCCTTGGACTGTTCAGCCTTATGAACCATCCTCTCCATGTCCTCCTTGCTGAGCTAGCCCTTGTCATTGGTGATCCTGTTAGCCTTGCTGTCACACTTAATGAGACCATTGGTATCCATGCCAGCATTTACTTCGATCTGGGGGACTCCACGTGGACTAGGAAGAATGCTACTGAGCTCAAAGCTGCCCAGCAGGTTGCTGTTCTTCGTCACAGCCCTCTCACCCTCCTTCACCTGGATCAGGACCCCAGGCCGGTTGTCACAGTAAGTAGTGAAGGCTTGGGTCTGTTTGGTAGGGATGGTGGCATTCCACCGGATTAATGTGGCGATCACCTTACTGTCTCCAGCCCCAGGGACAAACAAGGGAGCCACATCCAGCAGGAGGAGATCCTGCACCTTCTCACATTTGTCTATCAACACAAACACCTGCACAGCAGCCCCACGGGCCACAGCCTCATCAGGTCGATGTTCTTGTTCAGCTCCTTGACGTTGAAGAAGTCTGATAGACGCCTTTCCACCTTAGAGATACGGTAGAACCACCCTCCAGGATTAGCTCATGGATTTGGGCCTTGGCCAGCTTGACATCGCTCAGGGTCCTCTCCACAGGGTCCAGGAGGCTGCAGAAAAGGTCTGAACACAGTTCCTCCAAGTGGGCATGAGTAATGGACGTGTAGAAGCCCACATCTTCGAACAAGAAGTTATCTGCAAGGTGCCACTTCCCTAGGAACAGACATGGCCTCTCGCTCTCAGGTTAGAAGAGGACCCAGATGCTCGAGGTGGCGGGATTGGTACAGCTCAGCACTGCTGTCCTTTCGCTGTCTCTCCAGTCAGCCCAGCTGGGATCAGCCTGGTTCAGCGCCACGGGCTTTCTACCCGGTTGTGGGAGCCCTGCCTCCTCCTGCCCTCGCTGGCAAGAACCTTCCCGCACCTGCTGCGCCCACCCCAGCCCTAGGACCAGCCAAGACCAGCCGCGCTGCCTCCCTAAGAAGATTCGGGCCTCGCGGCCCAGAGAAGCGGAGTGCAAAGTGACTGGCTCGCATCCCCCACTTTGATTCAGAGCTGCTGCAAAGAAATACACAGAAGGTTCCAGTTCTCCCCGGCTGATTCTAAAGGTGCAGGGTGGTGACAGTAGCCAAGTCAAGGTAGCTAGCTACCTTTCCCGGTTACTGTTTGGAGGGCAGTCCTGCGCACGCGCGAGCCCGAGCCCGTCTCCCCGCCCCCCTCTTACCTCCCGCCCCCGAAAGTCGGGCGCGTGCTGCCGCGCAAACAGAGCCATAGCTTCTGAGCTAGAGATGTAAATAATGGTGTGGGGTTTGTTTTTTAAAAAATGAATTCTTGGAACACGAGGTTCGGCTTTTTAAAACAGAGTCAAAGAGAATGATTACGTAAAAGTGACGCTAGAAGTAGAGATATACTGAAATAGGAGGACTGCAACTCCCTGCACGTCTGGCATTGGTGGTTCAGTGGTAGAATTCTCGCCTGCCACGCGGGAGGCCCGGGTTCGATTCCCGGCCAATGCACGAACATGTCTTTTGTGTGGGATTTTTCCTTTTCAAGGCTTAATTCCTTTTCTTCTCCAGCCTTCCGCCAGAACTCAGGGTTCTTTCGATTTGACTCCTGTTCTTTCGCCGGCTCACCCCTGAGGAACAACGCTGTGGTCATGGGATTCCGGAACCCTAACCCACCAACCCATGAGAGCGCTGGACATAGGAAAGCCTGCATTTCACTCCTGTGTTTGAGACCAATGCTATAAAGTTCCTCTCCCAAAGAAGCATCGTTCTCAGAGCGTTTTGGAAAGACTTTGTGGTTTTTATCTGTGAGCCTGTTTTTCTCTCAGGTGGAAGTGACCCCAGGATTCAGATGTAGAACAAATTGCTGTAGCATATGCCCTAAAGCAGTATTTCTCAACCTTCCTAACGCTGCGACCCTTTAATACAGTTACTCATGTTGTGGTGACCCCTCCAACCTTGAAATTATTTTCGTTGCTACTGCGTAACTGTAATTTTGCTTCTGTTATGAATCATAATGTAAATATCTGATGTACAAGATATCGAATATGCGACCTCTATGAAAGGGTCATTTGATACACCCCTCTAAGAGGGTCGCATCCCACAGGTTGAGAACCACTGCCCTAAAGGCTGAAGCGAGTTCATCAAGCAGCGAAACTGCATTGCTTCCTACTGTCTGAGGATTTGAAAACTGAGTCTTTTTATCGTGTCCCATTTTCTTTAATTCAGAACATTCCATTTTGACTTTCTGATGTTGGACTTATATTGAAATTCAAACGATTTCAAAAATGCCTTTGAGGAAGAGGTCAGATCTCTCTCTCTCTCTCTCTCTCTCTCTCTCTCTCTCTCTCTCTCTCTCTCTCACACACACACACACACACACACACACACACACACACACACACACACACACCGCCTCACCAGGGAATACAAACCTGGGTCTCCTAAACTGATGCAGTCTAGGGGTCTGATAGTCTGATAGTGTTCATTTTCTCTGCCAGTTAAAGAATTAAAAGGCAAGAAAAAAAAAATCTCAGCTCGACAGGGGTAGTGCAGAAACCTCAAGCCCCAAAGACAGAATCAGCAACTGAAAAAAGGCATTTATTGATTTATTGGAGGTGAGGACACACACATCTTCAGAAGCTACACAGAGAGAAAGAGCCTCTGCAAAGCAGGGGGCGGAGGAGTTCAGGAAGCCAGAAAACCCAGCCTCTTCTAGAGAATCTGAGTTCCCTTTTGCAAGTTCTCAGTCTCATTGATAAAAGAACCCAAAAGGAAACTCATAAGGAAACTCAAGGACCATTTCATTAGAATTTGAGGGGAAAACCACAGAGTGGGCGCACTGCAAATCTCAGAAGCTACCAGGAGGAGGGAGATGGAGAAGTCTGTCCTTCAAGGTCAGCAATGGAGATCTGCAAGCAGCTATAAAAAGGGCCTGGAAGTCTTCAAGAAAACAGTAAGAAAGACAAGTGTCACGGGCAAGCATACTTAGGATCCTGGTCAGCATCTTAAGAGAAGAGAAAAAGGGGGGGAAAGGGCAAGGCATGGTGGACACGCCTTTAATCCCAGCACTCGGGAGGCAGAGGCAGGGGATTTCTGTGAGTTCCTAGGCCAGCCTGGTCTACAGAGTGAGTTCTAGGACAGTCAGGGCTGCTTGTCTCAAGAAGAAGAAGGAGGAAGAAGGGGAGGAGGATGAGGAAGAGGAGGAGAAAGAAAGAAAGAAAGAAAGAAAGAAAGAAAGAAAGAAAGAAAGAAAGAAACTAACTGGTGGAGGAGGAAAGTCCCACACTAAACAAGCAAGCACACAGCGTATTGATGATGATGATAAGTGCACAGGAAAACAATAAACCGGGAAGGAGACTTAGGAGAGGAATAAGGTTATACTACTGAATAATCAAAGCGCCCTGACTGATGACATCTGAATAAAAACTGAATCTCAGTTGGTTTTCTGTTGCTGTAGAGTAAAGCATATGCGACTAGGTTCTTTTTTTTTTCTTTTTAGAAAAAGGTTTATTTAGTTCCCAGAGACTTTAGTCCAAGTTCAGATGGTCACATTCGCTTGGCTCCTGATGAGGACCTTGTGTTGCTCTATGCGTGGCTGAGAAGCCCAAGAGCAAGTAAGGGTCCTGGCGAGACTGCAAGCTGCTAAGCTGTGAGGTGGCTAAGCGTTTCCTCCTGAAGAGCGTCCATCTATGCATACAAGCATCCCTCATGATCTGAGCGCCTCCCATTGGTCTCCACCTCCTAGCACCACTGACCTGAGCGTCAAGCCTCAGTCTGAGTTCTGCCTGGAACACTTTATACTTTGCATGGTGAAACAGGACGTGGGCCTCTGTAAACAAGAACATCCCTGAAACAGAAATGATGGTATATGAAAGTATGGGTGCTGTGTTCGAGGAAGAGCGAACATGCCCAAGAATGAGCAAGGAAAAGGAGAAGGAAATGAGATCAGAGTGGCAAGATCATGTGGTATCATCTTGGAGAACACTGAAAAGTCATTAGACTTCCTTTTAGTACAAGGGAAGGCTTTTATATTATTTTGAACAAACAAGTCACAAAAGGGAGATCCTTAGCCCAGGTTGGTTTTTGTTGGATTGCTGGAGGTCAAACCCAGGACATCATGTATACTGAATAACAGTTCTGCCACCAAGCCTCAGCCCTCTCTTTCTCCCTTTCTTGTTAAAAAAACCAAAAAAGGCCGGGCGGTGGTGGCGCACGCCTTTAATCCCAGCACTCGGGAGGCAGAGCCAGGCGGATCTCTGTGAGTTCGAGGCCAGCCTGGGCTACCAAGTGAGTTCCAGGAAAGGCGCAAAGCTACACAGAGAAACCCTGTCTCGAAAAAACAAAACAAAAAAACCCAAAAAAACAAAAAAAGTACATTTGAATGTCTTTATTTTGTGTGTGCATGTAGAAAGAGAAGGTGCACCTGCCGTGGTGGATGTGTGGAGGTCAGAGGACAACTTTCAGGAATTTGTTCTCTCCTTCCGCCATGTGGGTCCCCAGGATCAAACGCTGCTCTTGTTGGCAGGCTTAGCAACAGGTGCCCTTTCCTGGTAAGCCATCTAAACACAACCTACACACTCCGTATCCAGCCTTCTTTTCTTGAAAGAGGATGTCACTAAGTTATCCAGGCTAGACTTGCACTCACTCTGGCACCTAGGCAGGCCTTGAACCGGTGATCCTCCTGCCACAGCCTCCTGCGTAACTGTAATTGCAGGACCACATCTCAGGCCTGGCTCTAAGCTGCTTTTTTAAAAGGAGAAGCAACAGGGTGGCTGAAGAGATGCTGCTGCCACTGCTATTTGCCGCCCTACGATGAGATGTCACTTGTCCTGAGGAGCCTGACACCTTCTGATTGACAGAGTTTTCCTCCAGGCCTCCACTGGGGGTTGAAGGTTTTTCCGAACACAGAAATAAAGGCCCGTGTCCACTACAAACAGGAGGCACATCACTAGGCAGAAAGCGGCGTGGTACCAAAGTAGAGAGACGGTGGGTGCAGCCGCTGAACCTGGCAGGAGAGTCGGAAGAACGGGGAGAGATGCACCATTAAGACAGAAATTTGGAATAAACTGTGGGGTCCTCAGTGCTGAGTCCTCACACCTCGTACTTAAAGTAGGGACAAGAGCACATAAGTAAGCCAGGAAGCCTCCGTGGACTTTTTATCTCTCAGCTGTCCCCCAGATGTTGCTAAATCTGCATTTCCTGAAGGGTGGCCACAACCACATCTGTATGAGATTACAGGAAGTTACACCTCAGCTCTTTGGAATGTCTGGAATGTCTAGGAACTTAGAGAACCTCTGCACCAATGACAAGGCTCTGTTTCACTGCTGCCTTATCACCCACCACCTGCAAGTGAAGAGCTCTGGGCTGAGCCCACTTGCCATCACTTGGCAAGGGCTTCACAGCTCTCCTCTTTGCCTCCGATCCCAGTTCCTAGGTCTCCATGTGGGGCTACACAACTCTAGCCTTTGTCTGTCTCCTCTTCTCCCTTTCCAACATCTTCACAGAGTCCCCATACCTTGGACAGTGATGGTCACAGGCTTTGACGAGTATTTTGTCCTTCCTAGAAGTCCTGTGCAGTGGTAATCACCACTGTGGCTGTGATTGGCTTTGGAGATGGAGAAGTTGCCACTGTAATGATGAAATTTCACTGATTTTCCATTCTGGTAGAATGTGATCTTGTTCAGGGGTTTGCTCCTCCAACTATGGCACCTCAGCATGATGGTTTCCCCTTCCAGGAACACCAGTTGGGGGGTCTGGAGCAGCAGCCAGTCTGAAAGATGGAAAGGAAATTTACTAAGAGTAAGACACCAAGAGACTGGAGATATGGCTCAGTAGAATCCATGTGTAAGAGCCTGGGCTCAATCCCTAACACCCAGTCGGAAAGTGTACAATCACAACACCTCAGAGGTGGAGCCAGAAATTCAAGGTCATCCTCAGCTATACAGCAAGCCTGGACTACATGAAACCCTGTCTCAAAAAGAAAAAACAAACAAAATCCCAAGGCCCTTGCGTCAGCCTCTCACACAGGCCCACGTGACTCACACAGGGAAAACATGGCATTACATCTATGAGATACTAAAATAATTTTAAAACAGTTTTATTGATTAAAAAACACCATACTCATGTAGGAAATGCATTAATTTCAATAACTATAGGAGTTATAGAATAGAGCCTGAATCCTTCAGTGTATTGTAAGCATAGTGTTTATGGTCTAGGAATACTAATTTAATGATATGACTTTTGAACAAATCTTAGGAAGCGAGGTAAGTAGCCATAACTGTGTTAGCAGTGAGTAGAGCCTGCAAGCCCCTCTGTCATGGTCTATTCAGGCTGCTTTGACAAAGTACCATAAACTAAGCACCCACGAACCAGATGTGGGAGTACATGTCTATAATCCCAGAACCTGGGCAGTAGAGCAGAAGGATCAGGAGTTCAAGGTCATCCTCACCTAGATAGTGAGCTGGAGTCTAGCCTGGGCTATATGATACTCTATCTTAATAAACAAATGTTCAAAACATAATCTCCATGGTTTATAAACAATACACATTTACTTCTCAATTTTTTGAAGACTGTGAAATCCAAAGCAAGAGGCTAGAAATGTTTGCATCTGATGAGAGTCCACTTCCTAGTTCATAGAAGTGAAGCTCATTGTCACACTCTTACAGGATTCTTGTAGATCTCCCTTATTAGGTCTTTACTTTCATGACCTAGTTACCTCCCCCAACGGACCACCCCTTGGTGGTACTGCAACATCTCAGTCTTTGAACATGAACATTTGAGAGCACAACACACCCTGAATAGAATCTTCTGCCCACATGAAAAAAAAATGAAAGTATATGACCTTTGGGGGCAATGTAGGAATTTGTGACATTGAAGCTCAGGCTGGCCAGGACTCATTATGTAATGAAGACTAACCTCAAACTTTCAGCAAGCAACAATCCTCCTGCCTCAGTTGGTATTACATACAGGTGAGAGCTATCATGCCCCATCAGGTAAGATCTGCTTGTTTGTTGGTTGGTTTTATTTGTTTTTAAGATGTGTCAGATCTCACTATAGTAGTCCTGACTGTCCTGGAACTCACCATATAGACCAGGCTAGCCTCACAGAAATTCTTCTGCCTCTGCCTCCCAAGTGCTGGGATTAAAGGTGTGTGTCACCACACCAGGCTTTTAGATAAGATCTTTTGAATTCAGTGTTCTCTTGTGAATTAGAACAAAAAGGGCAGAACATCTTAAAACTTAAAATCACTTTTCTACCATCATTAAGAACATCCTCACAACCATCCCTAGCTTTTATTGATGGTGGGAGTCATACACACACACACACACACACACACACATATAACACACCACACACACATATGGTGTGTGTGCATGCTCCATCTTCCACACATGGAAGCTACCATGGCTTCCAGAGATTGAACTCAGGTTTGCTTGCTTGTATGGAAAGTGATTTTACCAAGACAGCCATCTTGCCAGCTCTATATTTTTCTGTTTGTTTGTTTGTTTGTTTGTTGGGGTGTATTTTTGTTTTTGGTTTCCTTATTTGTTTGTTTGGTTTGGTTTCTCAAGACAGGGTCTCTCTGTGTAGACCACCCTGTCCTGGAACTCACACAGATCTGAATGCCTCTGCCTCTCAAGTGCTGGGATTAAAGGCGGGCCACCACCTCCACCCTGCTTGTTTTCATTTTTTTGAGAGAATCTTATGTAGCCCAGTTGGGCTTCCAATTCATTGTGTAGCTTTGGCATTGGGACCTTAAAGAATCATTTTATTTTATCTTATTTTATTTTGAGACAGTCTCACTCTGTAGCCCTGGTTGATCTGGAATTTACAGAGAGATGCCTACCTATGCCCCTACAGTGCTGTGATAAATAAATGCATGTGCAATCATACTCTGCCTAAAAGTACTGTTTTTAAAAGTTACCTTCTTGGTGTTAAACAGGAGAATCTAAAACACTAGATACTGACATGTACCATCTTCAGGGCAGGAACCAGGTAGATCTGAAGCAAACTATAATCATGCTCCTATTTTCAGATATTGGAGTGGGATAGGAATAGTGTTCAAGGGCATTTTCATTATAGATTCTATTAAACTGAACATTGTCACATATTTACACAAACCTAAATCAGATCATGTGACTCCTTAAATTAAAACCATCTCATGATGACACAAAGGAATACTATTCAGCCCTAAGAATAAATCCTATCTAATTGGAAATCATTTTAAGTTAGCTAAGCCAGGCATAGAAAGACAAGTATGCTTCAGGCGGTGGTGGCGCACGCCTTTCATCCCAGCACCGGGAGGCAGAGGCAGGCGGATCTATGTAAGTTTAAGGCCAGACTGGTCTACAGAGCGAGATCCAGGACAGGCACCAAAACTACACGGAGAAAGCCTGTCTCGAAAAACCAAACCAAAAAAAAAAAAAGAAAGAAAAGAAAAGAAAGACAAATATGGGAAGAAAAGGGGGGAGGGTGAAATGGGGAAAGGTTGATCAACAGGTAGTGATTTATAGTCAGACAGGAGCAAGGCATTTTGAGGGGCTATTGTATAGTAAGATGTTTATAGACAACGATATTGTATATTCCAAAGAGGGGGGACAGAAATAAGGATTCTCAATGTTTATACTATAAAGAAATGGTAAATATTTGAGGTGATAAATATGCCTAATCCAATCTAAGAACTAAACAATATATACACATAACAAAATGTCACACACTGTCCTCCACAAATATATTAGTTTCAAGTTTTTAAAACTACTTTACAGGCTTTCATCTCATTTAGGGGCAAAAGTCATCACACGGCCCATCCTCTTCTACCTGTTGGACACAGTTCCCCTCCCCACTCCCTGGGAGGGTTCACCTCCCGTCTCCTGGCGCTCCACAAGCCTGCTCCTGTCTCCTGGCACTCCACAAGCTTGCTCCTGTCTCCTGGCACTCCACAAGCCTGCCCCGTCTCCTGGCACTCCACAAGCCTGCTCCCGTCTCCTGGCACTCCACAAGCCTGCTCCTGTCTCTGCAGGTCCACTTGCCTGTGGTCTCCGTGCTTTCCCACACTGCATCACAGAAGTGATGTTTATGAAGCAAGAACTTCCTTCTATTTTTCTCACAGCAGCCTTTCTGTGGCCTTGAACCTCTTGCTCAGTTAGGTCTGAGACAGATAAAGCTGTCCCTTTCACACCGTACTAAACAGAGCGGGTGAAAAGGGAAATGAGTGGACAAATGTCTTTCAAAAAAGCTCTCAGTGATGCTTCCCAGAAATCAGGCCACCCTCTTTCTCATAAACTTCTGTCCTGTAGCAGATTCCCTGGGTCTGGTATCCCAGCTGCTCCCTGGGCCTGTGTCTACTAACCAGAAATCACTCCCAGATGTACAGGGTCGCTGAGGCTGGTCTGGCCCGTTTGACACTGATACTCTCCACTGGTATTGACTGTGGCTTTAAACATGTAGCTGGGATGGGCCTGGCTGCTGATGGATCTCCCATTGTGGAACCACTGGGTCGAATTGTTCCCAAGGTTGCGGGTCCCTTCGCATTTCAGTGTCACACTGTCTTCCTGGAGCACCTGGATCCATGGGGGCTCAAGTTTCACCACAGCCTTCGGGAGATCTGCTGAGAGTAAGAGATCAAAAAGGAATGTGAACAAGTAAACTTTGAGAGACTGTGGCTTCTAAAGGGGAGCCCAGGGGCCAGAGAGTCCCTATCATTCACCCAGAAAAGATCTGGGATGATGACTCACAGCTATAATCTAGCAATGGGAAGGAGGAAGCATTTAAGATCTGACTGTGATGTATAATTAATTCAAGACCCCTTGTGGGCAACTGAACATGTCTGTTTCAAAATAAATTTTAAAAGGGTTAGGGTTACAACTCAATGGTAGAAGCTTTCGCAGCACACCCCAGGTCCTGGGTTCAATCTCTAGACCATTAAAAAAAAAAAATGTGTGTATGCACTAATCTCTTTTCCTTGGGTTGTTGGAGAACCCAGCTGGAGGCTTCCCAACGATTTTACTCCAGGCCCTGCTGTGAGAGAACTACCCAATATGAACCCAAGCCTGATCCTTGGTAGAACAGACATTTCCCTACAAAGTAAACACAGCACTTTGCAGTAGGGAAGTAACACTGTGAAAACAAGGGAAACACGAACTTACCAGTCTGCCTGTCTGCAAAAGCTGTAAATAAGAAGAGAAGGGGTCAACGTGGAGCAGCAGCAGCAGCAGCAGACAAAAGCAAATTGTACATAAGGAACATCAGGATGGGCTTAGAGCCTCTTCCCCGACTCAAGAGTCTGGTTCTAGTTTCTCTCTATCTCTCATATCCTCCCCACCTCACCCTGCCAAGGGGTTGGCTCGGCTGCCAAGCAAGTATGAATGTTTGGTGCAAGACAGACTTTCAGGGACTGTAAAGGTACCTCTGAATTCCGAGCTTAAAAAAGCTTTAGTGTAGTAAAAAGTTACAAACCTCTCCTTGCTGTCGTTGTTGAGACAGGGTATCACCATGTAGCTCTGGCTGGCCTGGAACTCACTGTGTCGACCAGACTAACCACTTGCCTCTGTCTCCTAAGTGCTAAGATTAAGGCATGGATCACCACACCTAGTTCTAGAACCCCCTTTTTTCCACAGGGTCCCATGAAGCCAGGTTGGCCTGGAATTGGAACTCACTATAACTGAGGCTAACCTTGAACTCCTGGTTCCTCTATCATGAAAGTGCTGGCGTTACAAGCAGATCCCACCAGACCTGGGTCTCTTGCCTTTCTATCTCCCTCCCCCCCCGCCACCCCACCCCCCTCCCGAGCTTCTAAACCAGGCCTGCTCCTTACTATCCTGGTCTCTGGAGTCCAGATGCTAGGAGAGGCAGAAGTCACTATGACCCTTACCAAACAGCAGCAAAATCGTCAGTGGCTGAAGCAGCCATTGGCTTCCAGAATGTACATTCTGAAACATTTGTGTTTCCAAAGTCTTTCAAGAACTGGGTCAGAGTCTGATGGGGTTTGGCAGATGAACTAAGAAAAGAGGAAGGAAGTGGACTCATCTTCTTGCATAATCAGGTGGGTCAGCAGACTCTGTTTCTGCTAACTTAACAATTACTGGTCAAACAAGATATGAAATCTGCTTAACAGATAGAACTTTCTACGTGTAGTCCCTTGTTATACCCTTGGGGAAAACCCCGAGTTACTGTTTGCTGGTGAGGAAACTGGGGGAAACACTAGAAAGCAGAGGAGGGAGTCTCCAGTTAGTGTCTGGGGCTTCAGTTTTGTATTGCTTTCACAAGTTCCTGTGCTGCCGCACAGACCAACACAAAAAGCTCTAAGGGAGCTTTGGCAAAGGAATTTTTGACCCAGATGAGATAAAGAGACCTTCTAAACAGGTTATTGAAAGAATCATTAGGGAAAAAAACTATATCTGAAGAAAACAGTCCAAGAATGTCTCTATCCTACACGCAAGAGTCTGATCTTGCCCTCCACACACGTAAGAAAGTTGAGAGTTTTTGCTTTGTTTTGATTTTTTTGAGACACTGTCTCTCTAATTACCCATGACTGACCTGAAACTCACTATATAGACTTGGCTGACCTTGAACTTAGAGATCAGCCTGCTTGTGCCATATGAGTGCTGGGATTAAAGGCGTGTGATACCATGCCCAGAGCAAAAACCAAGTTTTTAAGTATAAGAAATAAATTTGTTAATAAAGAAATTGTAATAGCAGAAATTCTATTCAAAAGAGGAAATTGGGAGCCGGCAAGATGACTCAATAGGTAAAGGCACTTACTGCCATGCCTGTTAACCAGAGTTCCACCTCTGGAACCTACATGATGGTTGGAGAGAACTGACTTTCTTTGTGCTCTAAATATACGTGCATGTACACACACACACACACACACACACACACACACACACACACACACACACACACAGAGTTAAACAAATGTTTAAAAAAACATACTTTTTTGGTCTGTATACCCACCACCTACACACTTCTGACACCAAATATGTGTGGGGGTAGTTTCCATACCAAACAATTCTCCAACACCGTCTGGGATTCCTACAATTTCAACTCAGTTCTGACATTATCTACCTGGAAAAAACATGACTGTTTCACAGAACAGACATAACAGAAAGCTCGAGCAGATCTGTATGGTTATCACGGAAGTTAGCAGAGTCCTTCTGTGAGTGATGGTTGACTGCTCAGTCATCTTTCCTGGAACCGTGACTTCTTTTGTCATGTCTCAGGCTAGCCTCCCCTGCAGAACTGTTAATGCTTTACATGCTTTGTCACAGGGTTTCAGTACTTCACACTTTTTTGGTGTTCCAATGTGGTGTTCAAATTTCCACATAGGGCCTGAGAAAACTGGAAAAGGAAAAAAGAAAGAAAGGAAGGAAGGAAGGAAGGAAGGAAGGAAGGAAGGAAGGAAGGAAGAAAGAAAGAAAGAAAGAAAGAAAGAAAGAAAGAAAGAAAGAAAGAAAGAAAGAAAGAAAGAAAGAGGGAAAAGGATATGGCTCCTTTAAGAGGCTCTGCTGTACTGGTAGAAACAGCAAGCTAAGTAAAAACCACACACCACAGTGCAGGAGCACCAACTTCCTAGAGCTGGTGTGGTTGAATGCAGCTCTCAGCTGAACACAGCTCTCGGCCAGGCTCTTAGGGCATAAAGCTCAGCTGACCTGAGTGGGGTGGAGTCAGCCAGCACAAAGCCACTTAGCAGTTTAAGGTTTGGCTCAGGAGGATAGAGACATGCAGTAAAGACAGATCCAGGCTGGTTACAGGGTGTTTAAAAATGTGAGTAGGAGCCGGGCGGTGGTAGTGCATGCCTGTAATCCCAGCACTCGGGAGGCAGAGGCAGGTGGATCTCTGTGAGTTCGAGGCCAGCCTGGTCTATAGAGCCAGTCCAGGACAGGCTCCAAAGCTACAGAGACCCTGTCTCAAAAAAAAAAAAAAAAAAAAAATGTGAGTAGGCTTAAGAAAGAAAATGGGTATAGACAGTCATAGAAAAAAAGTAGACAGCTTATAAATAATAAAGTCATAGTTGAAAGTTTTCTCCTGTCTCGCCTGGCCCCATGGTCCCATAGCCACTTATAAAATAATTACTCAGAGGCTTAATATTATTTACAAACTGTATGGCCTATGGCAGGCCTCTTGCTAGCTAGCTCTTTATATCTTAAATTAACCCATTTCTACTAATCTATGTTTTGCCACGTGTTCCATGGCTTTATTGGTCTGCTGGCATGTTGCTCCTTGGGCAGCAGGCTGGCATCTCCCCAGACTGAATGAAGTTAGGGATTGTACTGCTTTAGTAAAACAGTGGTTCTCCTCCAAGATCCATGAATTCTCTAGCCAGGACTGCAGATAAGCCTTGTGCTTTCCCATTGCACAGAGACTGGACAACTGTAGACAAATTGCTAAATGGTCTTATTAAATAAAAGACTCGGAGCCAGAAATTGGGGTTAAAGCCTGAGAGAGATCAGAGGAATAGAAAAAGCCACAAGCTAACCTCACCTCACAGATACCTCAGTCTTCAAAGAAACCTACTTCCTGTATACCCACACTTATATGCCTTTCTGTTCTGCTCTCTCATTTGCTCTCTCAGCCCAGCTACATCGCTTCCTCTTCTTGCCCAGCTCTGTCACTTCCTGTCTGTCTGTACAGACCTCCAGACCTCTATGGTTAGTGCTGGGATTAAAGGCATGTGACACCATGCTTAGCTCTGTTCCCAGGGTGGCTTTGAACTCACAGAGATCCAGACAGATCTCTGCCTCCCGAATGATAGAATTAAGGGTGTGTGCTACCTTTGCCTGACTTCTATGTTTAATATAGTGGCTGGCTTTTTCCTCTGATCCTCAGATAAATTTTATTAGGGGACACAGTATATTGGGGACACTCTACATCACCACAGATAACCAGTGTTATGACTAGTTTTCCCAGGACTTGACCATTATCTCAATTTTCTCAGGTGTCCTAAAGATGTCATCATCCACAGACAAGAAGAAACAGACTAGAGAATACAAGGCCCACATTCCCAAGAATTGGGGTGGGTGGTTTTTGATCCTTTGTTGGGTTATACATGTTTGTCATCATTTAGGGGGATGATGGGAATATAGGATAAAAAGACAACTATTAACATCAAATACTTTACATTGATATGGATTTTGGTATATTAATACAAATTTAAAGTTATTTTTGTTATACTACATGCATGTTTCTATTCTTCTTTGGGGTATTGTGCTTATGCAGATCATTTAAAAATGTAATGTATAATTTAAAAATGTGGGGCTGGTGAGGTGGCTCAGAGGTTAAGAGCAGTGGCTGTTCTTCCAGAGGTTCTGAGTTCAATTCCCAGCAACCACATGGTGGCTCACAACCATAGATAATGAGATCTGGTGCCCTCTTCTGGCCTGCAGGCAACATGCAGGAGGAATATTGTATACATAATAAATAAATCTTTAAAAAGGCAGGTTGGTAGTTATCTATAATAATCAAACTTGAAGTCATATTAGGTATGTTTTCAAGAACATACAGAGATATATTTTAGACAGGTGATCTTCAAACACCTCAGAGATCTAAAGAATATGGCATTGAAGATGTTTAATAACCTAAGGCTTTTCACGACAGTGAGACATGCCTACTCCTGGCAGCACCAATATACTTTATAAAAGGATGATGGACATCAAAGAACCTCCATATGGAGTTTGCTTCCAGTGTGGCAAATTTAGCCATTTGGGCAAGAAACAGACCTTGCTTTGACTACTGACAGTATGCTGTGCAAACTGGACAAGCAGGACACAGAGGAAAAAGACTGCTGAACTTTGCCAAGATAAGGCGGGACAGTCCTTCAAAATTCCTGCTTCATAGAAAAGTCTGCCAGATCTTCTAGGTCTGTAGGCTGAAGATGGATGCCCCACCAATGCAGAGGAATCTTGAGTCACTATCCATGTAGCCAGATGTTTGTCATTTTGGAAGTGGACTGCACTGCACTTCCTGTTTACTCAGGTGATATTATAGTCTTCTGGGGTCTTTGATGGAATGGAAGACTAGATAGTTATAGTTTTCCTTAGTTATTATAGAGGGTAAATTAGGTACAGAACTTTGGACTCACCAAGATAGGATAGATAATGGAGTATTTTCTTTGATTTTGCCAAATGCAAAGGTGTGTTACATTTGTTTATGCTGCATTTGTTTAATTATGTGCAGATGTATTGCTGCTTCACCTTGCCTGCCTAAGGCTCCTGATTTCGTTTAATAAAAAGCTGAAGAGCCAATACCTAGGCAGGAGAGGGATAGGTGGGAATGGCAGGCAGAGAGAATAGGAAGAGGAGTCTAGGCTCAAGAGAGAAGAGAAGGAACAAAAGGAACCAGGGAGAAAGAGAGGGACACACCTGGCTCCAGAAAGGCAGACAGCTGCCAGACAAACAGACATAGAGACAGCAGAAAGGTAAGATAGAAAGGTAAATGAGTGTGGCAGCACATGCCTTTAATTCCAGCCCTCGGAAGGCAGAGGCAGGCAGATGTCTGTGAGTTCGTGGCCAGCCTGCTCTAAAGAGTAAGTTCCAGGAAAGGAGCAAAGCTACACAGAAAAACCCAGTATCGGAAAAAAAAAGGTAAAATCCTCCGAGGCAAAATGTAGATAAAGAGAAACAGATTAAAAGAAGAGCTGAGCTAAGGCCAAGGATTAAAAATAAAGGTCTGTGTCATGATTTGGGAGCTGGTTGGGGGCCCAAGAGAAAGCTTGCTACACTTTTTAATTCCCAAAGCCAACATATATTGTCTTGCATCCAACAATTTTCAGTTTAGACTGAGTTTTAAGTATTTTCAGGGTGAAAAAACGGTGGCGAGTGTCTGGACCTTCCATTGTATGAGATGCTCCCTGGTGGTCTAGTGATTAGGATTGGGCCAGGGTTCGATTCCCGGTGAGGGAAGCCTTTCTTCTTCCACTCTGTACATTGGCCTCTTCTCCGCCCTCTGTCTTGTCTCCTGACCCGGGCTTGTCTCCATCACCACAC